GGTGGCTGGCAGGCATCTCCTAACTCTGTCCTCCTTCCCCCCAGCATTTTCAGTTTGCCTTTTCTACCTAGCCTTGTTCTGCCACGCTATAGGCCAGTCAGCTTTTCTTATTAACCAATGAGGCTAATACATATTCACAGAGTACAGAAGGATTGTCGCACAGCAGGTAGAGAGGAAAAATTCATCAGTACGAGATCCTGCAACTTCAAGTACATTAGAAGCCCTTGGGATCTTGTTTCAGTATAGACTGGTTATTCTGCTCATGGTGCAACCCACGTTTCTAGCAAGTTCCCAGGTGGTAGAAAAGCTGCTGGTCCTCGCATAAACCTTTGCAGGTGTACAGGACTTGAGTGTCCAAGAAGTTTGTGGTTTGAGGAGCTGCTTCAGCATCCAGAGACATGATGGAAAGGGGATTTTAGACTAAGGGTTGTCTGAGTCTTAGTAGTCAGACTTTTTCCTGCCCAAAAGCATAAGGATCTGGGCTGGGCACTGCTCAGTGGAGAGTGCTCGCCTAACATGTGCAGCAGGCCTTGGTTTCCATCACCAGTGGTGGCCCAGTCTCCAGTTCATCTCTGTTGCCAGTTGCTCTCTAGTATTGTCTGGTGAGCCAGGTGAGGCCTCTTCCTTCCCCAGCATGTGATACTCACAGGCCAATGGAAGCTCCCCCCTGACTGACATTTGACTCATGAGTCCTGGACCCCGCCCAAGCAGAGAGCAGTGAGTGTTCTCATTCCAGCCGGCCTGGAGAGACTGCTGAGCATGTTCTGCTGCCAAGAATGTTCTGGAACTGCTGGGTGCCTCGTGGCTCTTGGCCTGACCCTTTAGCCTTCCCTTTGCTCTTGTGCATGCATACCCAACATCTTTCCATGAATTTCCTTTTGTCTGGATTGACCCAAGCCTTCTTCTATTGCTTAGATTGTCAAATGACCCTACCAAATATGGCTTCTTCTTCTTCTTCTTCTTTTTAAAGAGGCTTATTGTTGTTGTTATTGAGACAAGGTCTCATTATGTAACCCTGGTTGGCCTGGAACTTGCTATGTAGACTAGGCTAGCCTTAAACTCATAGAGATCCACCAACCTCTGCTTCCAGAATGCTGAGATTAAAGGCATGGGTAACTATGCCCAGCTTTAAGGTTTATTTCTATAGTTTATTTCTATTTATGTGTCTGTGTGAGCATATGCCATGTGTGAGTTTAGTGTCCATAGATGACAGAAAAGGGCATCATAATCCGTAGAACTGGAGTTGTGAGCCCTCTCGCGTGGCTGCTAGAAACTGAACTCTGAAAAAGTAGCAAGCACTCATAACTACTGAGCCATCTCTCAAGCCCTCAGTCTCTCAAGGCCTCGTTTGGAGCTAGTCTCTCTGTATCTCTCTGTCTCTCTGTCTCTCTGTCTCTCTGTCTCTTTGTCTTTCTGTCTCTCTGTCTCTCTGTCTCCCTCTCTCTCCCTTCCCTTTCCTTCTCCCCGTGTTTTGTGGGGGCCTGTCTGTCTGTCTGTCTGTCTTTCTGAGTTATGGTGCTACTTTGGCAATTTGAAACTGACTTCGTGGGTGCTGGCTTTGTACAAGTTACAGAGGGGGTAAGGGAGGCTCTACTAAGCACTGCACCTGAGAGTCAGATCTAAGTTCTCATTTAATGAGATGTACATAGGCTGAGCATGGTGTTGCATACCTGTATTCTGTGAGAGAGACAGAGGTAGGAGAGTTCAGGGCCAGCCTGGGCTACAGAGCAAGACCATATCTCTAAAATACAAAAAGCAAAACAAATAAGAGCATGAGCAGCTGGAGCTGGAGCTGCCCCTCTGCTCGAGGACACCTCAGCCGACCTTTAAGCTCTGAAACAACAGCAGTTCCCAGGCAAGCCTGTGGCAGTGTTTGCTAGAAATTCATTTTTGACCTCTTCCTTCTGTTTCCTTTCTTCCTATATTATATGAAAAACAAAATGTTACAGGAGGGAGAAGGAAGTGTGATACTTTTTTCAACCAGTATATACTGGTTTGATTAAAATAGTCCCACTTGCCGGGCGTTGGTGGCGCATGCCTTTAATCCCAGCACTCAGGAGGCAGAGGCAGGTGGATCTCTGGGAGTTCAAGGCCAGCCTGGTCTATAGAGCGAGTTCCAGAACAGCCTCCAAAATAATACAGAGAAACCCTGTCTCAAAAAAACCAAAAAAAAAAAAAAATAGTCCCACTTAGCTAGGTCTGGTTGTTTGTGCCTTGCGTCCAGCCACTCTGGAGGCTGAGGCAAAATCTCTTCAGCTCAGAGGGTCAAGACCAGCCTGGGCATCCTAACAGAACCCCACAAAAATCAATCAATCAATCAATCACTCAAAGAAGTTGTGCTTCTGGTTAAGGGACTTGCATCAAAAGGAAAGCAAACTGCGAAGGCAGGAAGTTGTTCAAACACATCTTAGCTGCTCCATGAGCCAGCTGTCCTTGGTGGCATGTTATTCAACTTCTCGGAACCTTGGTTTCCCCTTTGGAAAATGGCTTGCCACTAATACCTCTTTCAATGGGTTGTTTAGAGGGTTCAATGAGCCAAGGCAAATGAGTCATATCATCCACCAATGAGCATTTAGTTAAGCACCTAGGAATCTAGAACTCTGTCTTCCAGCAAGGGTTAGCAATCAAAACTGAGTTTGCTGAAGCCAGACTGCTTCCTCTGTTCTCTGGTTCCTTCCTTCCTTCCTTCCTTCCTTCCTTCCTTCCTTCCTTCCTTCCTTCCTTCCTTCCTTCCCTCCTTCCCTTTTAAAAACAGGTCCCCAGTCAGTAATCCTGGCTGGCCTAGAACTCAATATTTAGACCAGGCATGGTCTCAAATCCCTTCAGCCTCTGCCTCACACTGCTACGTTCATGTGAGCCACCATGCCAAGCACCCCCTCATACTCTTTTTTCTTTCTTTCTTTTTCTTTTTTTTTCCTTTGGTTTTTTGAGACAGGGTTTCTCTGTGTAGCTTTGGAGCCTGTCCTGGAACTCACTATGTAGACCTAAAGCTCACAGAGATCCTCCTGCCTCTACCACTCAGCTCCCTTTATACTCTTAACAAAAGACTTTTGAGAACTTTAGATATAATTATAATTTTAAAAATATGAACTGAACATGGTTGCACATACCTTTAATCTCAGCACTTTGGAGGCTGACACCAGAGGATCTCTGTGAATTCTAGGCCAGCCTGGTCTACATAGTAAGTTTTAGACCATCCAGGGTTATACAGTTTGACCTTGTATAAATAAATGAAAAGCCAAAACAAACAAACAAACAATCAAATAAGAACACTTATGGGCAAAATACAGAAAACATACAAAGATTTTCAATGTTGGTCTGTGGCTTGACATTATGTATAATTTTTATTTTCTTCTTTGGTTCTGCTTTCTAGGCTCTTTGCAATGAGTATGCATATAGATTTTATGACCCTAAAAACAAGCCCTGACAAATATCACCTTTGTTTTTATTCATTTGTTTAAATTTTATTTTATGTGTATGTGTGTATGTGCACCACTTGCACGCCTGGTGCCCTTGGAGGCCAGAAGAGGGTATTGGGTTCCTTGAGGCAAGAGTTTCAAAAAGTTATGAGTTGCCATGAAGGTGCTGGGAATTGAACCCAGGTCCTCTGTGCACTTAACCTCTGAGCCATCTTTCCAGCACTCAGATGCCTCTTTTGGAAAAGAAGAAAACCCTTGGTGCAAACTATGACCCAATTTGTTTTAGATGGAACCAGATGAAAAAAATTTCCAGTGAGGTGAAGAAGTAGCTAGCTGGTCAAGAGTTTGTTGAAAGGGAAATTTTATCAGTTTGGGTTCTCATTGACTTCTGGACAAATCATAAAGAAAAATGAAAGTCCACATGGGTTGGGTGGGGGCTGTGCCCATGCTGGGACTTTGCCTGGTGAATCATCTACCTCGAAATGACCTCAGGAGGGCTTGTGGCCCTGCCCCCTCTCCCTGCACCTCACGAAGATTGCCCTGCAGCTTTTCAGGGCAATGAGCCATGCTCCTATTTATAAGTCCTCTAGGAACTAACTCTATATGCTGTTCCTTCCTCTGAAGCTTCGGGCAGGCTTTACTTTGAGTTTGCAGGTTCTTTCGTTAGGTTAGCAATTGCCAGCCTAGTTTTACATGGAAGAGGCCTAGAGAAGACCTAGATCTTTCCACTAGTCCTGGGTCTTTGGACAAAACCCAATGCCCTTGGATATTGCTTTTGTCAACTACTCAGCAGGAGTAGGAAGAATTGAAAGAGCCGATAAGGACATGGACCTTAGCTTCGGAGATGCCCATATGCGTAGCTCTTCCCTGTTGGGAAAGGCAAGCCAGAGTGAGGTAGTTTGCCTTCGAAGAGAGTAACAGGAATTGGAGTTAGGGTGTTGAAATCTGTTCTGAGGAAGCTGGGAATCTGGGTATGGGAAATGGAACAAGAGTGAGCATTCTGAGGGAGAGGGAAGCTGGGAGAATGGGAATGCTGAATTAGGTGACAATGAGTTAGGTGAACCCTGTCACCCTGAGCCTAGGAGCTTTACCTGGAGCTGTGTCCTGTTGTAACAAGGCTGCTTTTCCATTGCCCAGGAACATCCTGAAACAAGCCTCCTGTCCACTGGTGTTTTGCAACATGTAGGATATGAGGCCATGCCAGGGTGGTGTTGACGAGAGAAGTAGATAGCAGTTTCTAGGGCAGCAGATATTGACTGAGAGCCAGAAGATTGGCAACTGTGGTCCCTGCTGACTGGAAGAAGGTATGTCTTTCTGGAAATGTATAGACTCTTTGAAGGAGGTAGGTCAAGGTACTGGCAGTAGAGCAGGGGTGGGGATACTTGGTTTTCTGTGTTTATTAGAAGAAAGGATGATGACTGAATTCTGGGGAAACTGGAGTTCTCCAGGGGAGAGTTGAGGTGCATTAGCAGAGTTAATATGAGTACCAGTAGGGACTGTGGCGGCAGTACTGATATTGGTAATGTATTGGTGCCTTTTTAAATATATTTGTGTTACAATAGTAAAATACCACAAATCAGGTAATTTATATACAATAGGAATTTATTTCTCACATATCTCATGTCTTCAAAGTCCAACATCAAGGTGCTGACAGATTCAAAGGCTGGTGAAGACCAGGAAGTGGCCGTCAGTAAAGACAAGATGGAAGTCCTTTTATACTGTTATTAATCCATCCACGGGGCAGCATCTTCACGCCCTCCTCCCAAGACATCTTCCAAAAGGCACCACTTCCCAAACTTACAGTGGGATTCCATTCCAGAACATGAATTTGGGGTGACACATTCTAGCCACAGCAGTAATCCCTTGTTTGGCCTCTCTGGAGTCCTGAATTAGCTACAGAATCCATTCTCCCAGGGCCAAATCAATGAACCGCTGCTCAGCCCCTACCCCCGTGCATGTTGATGAGAGTGGCATGTGGTATCAAATTAAAAGCCCTCCGGAGGCAGGAGATACACTTATGACTCCCTTATCCACGCGCCAGGCCACTTCATCATGAAAGGAAATTAAATTGGCTTAGAGTAAATTGCTCCTCCCAAAGCCAGACTGGTCCCCAAGCCTTCCTAGATGGCTGCAAAGCTGAAGGGTGGATTATCACTGCCTAACAGATTGTACCCAAATCTAATAGCTGCACAGTTTCTGTGGGTCAGGAAACAGAGAGTGGCTTGAGTGGGCAGATGTGGCTTGGAGCTACTCCTGAGGTGGGAGTCACCATGTCACTTGGTGCTGCAGCCATCTGAAGGTTCCTAGCTGAGCGATCTGCTTCCAAGGCTCATCTACAGGGCTGGCAAGTTGACAGGAGGTGTCTGTTCCTGGCTCTGAGGACTCTTCCATAAGGCCACTTGAGTGACCTCGTGACATGGCAGCTGGCTTCCTCTGGAATGATCCAAGAATGATTAAGCAGAGCCATGTATATGGTAGTCCCAAAAGTCACCTCTGTCTTTGATCAGTAATCTACTGGTAACCCAGGTGACCCATGCTCCCTGTGGGAGGGGACTAGCCAAAAGCATGCATACCCTGGGGGGTCAGAATCATCTGGTTTGGAGTCATCTAAGAATGGCCATCTCCTCCAGGTGCTACACGCAACAAGTCTCAGAGCTGTTGGCTTTCCTCTGTCGACACGGGGAAGAAATTGACCAGTTTTCAAGTGCTATCTGTCACATCTGCCGCGCAGCCTGTGTCTGAGAACGTGCGGAGGGTGTCGGGGATTGACAACACAGAGACTCATTCAACGATGTAAAGAAAACTTTAAGCAGGCCCCAAAAAGGTTCAAGAAAACTTCCTAAGAAAGGCTCCTTCCAGAGAAGCTTCTGCTCTCTCCTCTACCCTGGGTGGTTCTGCTCTGACACCAAAAACTGATCTGGGCGTGTCAGAAGAGGCGGTTAGTCTTTGGACAAGGTCGAGGTCAGGGCGGTTTCCGTGGGCAGGCCTTTTCCAGGAACTTATTGCCCTGGGTATTGTATTGTTTTTAGTAAACATGTTTTTAGTAAACATTGTCTTACAGCTGCCTACTCCCAGGCCGAAGGGGAAGTGGGTCTCTGCTCAAGGTCTGGTGTCCCCACACTATCTTCTTGTTTGGCATTCATCTACCAACATCATCAACTGAGAGTTGTTACTGTCCCATGCTATAGATGAAAACTAAAGGCTCAGAGAGGTTAAGTGACTTGCCCAGTATCCCAAGCTTAGAAAGTTCCACAGGGCTGGGAACTGAATCCATGCAAGGCTCCATCAAACTGAGTTGCCACCAAGCATGTCAAAGATATCTCTGGCCACCTTCCATTTCAAGGCTATGTGAATTAGAAAGGCTGCTGGTACGAAGAAAAATCTTATTTTCTCTCTGAATGAGAGACAGGGCCTCATGTAGCCCAGGCTAGTCTCAGTACTTAATGGGAATGACTCTGAACTCCTGATTCTCCTATCTCTGCCTCCCAAGTGCTGAGGTTATAGGTGGGCCCCACCATACCCTATTTTAGTACTGAGGACTGAACCCAGGACTTTGTAAATGCCGAGCTATGGTCCTATACCTCCACCCGCCTTGGCTTTAGTGTTTCGTTGAACAGGTGACCCAGGGCCATTATGGAAAAACTACAACATAGAGTAATTAAGGAAAGGAAAAAAAAGGAAAAGAAAGAGGGAAGAAAAGAAAGAAGAAAAAAATTCCCCTATAATTCTACCACCTAGATCTTCCACTCTTAATATCTCAATGTATTCCCCTAAGAACAAAGGAAATGGATTTAAAGTGCATTATGTTAACAGCATCTCCAGGGCACACTCTGAAGGAAACCCCATCCACTCAGCTTCCCCCACAGGGAGGAAGGCTGTGAAATTGGACCTTGTGAGTGCAGCCCAGCCTCCTGTGTGTGCCTGTGTGTGCATGCGTGTGTACCTCTGTGCCCGCCCATTTACTTCACCCAGAGGGAGAGAGGCTTGGCACAGCAACAGTTAGCCAAGTGGGCAGGGGATTTATTACGTGAGCACGGTGTGGTGTGGTTTTTGTTTTTGTTTTAATGAAGGGCAGGGAATCCGTGGCTTCAGGTGGCAGGAATGGCTCAACCTCTGGTTCAGTTCAAGTACCTCCAGGCAGGAGAAGGTTGATGGAGTTTAATTCAATCCATTTGGCCTTCTTAAGCTGCCTGCTGAGTTCGGGTTTCCAGGATACTCTGAGGCCCCTTTCATCATATTTTCTACCTACCGAAATGACTTATGACTAGCTCCTCTCCCCCAAGAATAACAGCCCCGGAGAGGAAGACTCACCTGCCTTCCCCTGCACCTGCCTCCCAGCACCTGCTACAGTCTCTGGCAGGCTGCGGTTGTCAACATGTGTTTGAAAAGAACTGCAGAGTTTGGGGGATGTCCACAAGAGGCTTGCTAAGGATGTAAGGACGGCCACAATTTTTATCTAAAAGGAGCCAAATCCTATTTAAGTAGTAGTTGGAGCTCAAGGGACATTTTATCTCTCCTACTCCTCTTCCTCCCCCCTCCTCCTCTTACTTCTTTTATGAGGCAGTCTCTTACACTCTAGCCCAGGCTGGCCCAAAACCCCTGCTTTGGCTTCAGCCTCACAAGTACTGGGATTACAGGTGTGAACTACTATCCTGAGCTCACAAGACCTCTTTCCTATCGCCTGTCAGTGGCTCAGGACTCTTGAGGTCAGACCACTGCCACCAGATTCACGATTCTTCCAAGAACTGCAAGAATTGTTAGGAGTAATGGTGTATCTTGTAATCCCAACACTTGGAAACTGAAATAGGGGGCTCATGAGTTCTAGACCAACTTGTGCTACAGAAAGGAAGAAGGAAAGAAAGAGGGGAAGAAGGGTGGGGAGAGGGAAGGAGGAGCTATTCCAATATAAGTCCTGAACTTGGAGACACTGAAGCAGCACTGAGTTTCAGTGTCATCCAGATTCTCACCAGTGAGCTGGGGGAGTTGGAGTATGTCACCAAACCTCTGTTTGCTTATCTGTGAAATGGGATCAAAGTGGGCATAGTGGATCCTGATACATCAGCCCCAAATGTGTGTTCCCCACTTGGAGAATCAATCTCCCTTCACCTTGAAGATCCCAAGGCAATGTTGCTTCATGACCCCTACGTGTTGGGATGAAGAGGCCTTTGATGAGTTCTGCCTAGAAACAGCTCTTGCCCGGCAGTGTCTCTGTTCAATGACGTGAATCCATGTGATATGGGGATATGTTGAAACACAGCTCTCAATCATGGTGACCAGTCAGGACTATGCTCCCAGTGCCAGTGAGGGCTAGGAAGGATGCTTCAGAGGTGAGATAGGATGTGGCCAGTGCCACACTCTGCACTGTGGGCTTCCTTTCTCTGTTGGCTTGAGTGGGGCAGGGTGTTGCTTCTCTGGTAGGATTCCATCTGTAAGGGCCAATTGGAGAAAGGTGGAGGTTTCAGATGACATCCAGGACCAATGCGTTGTTTAAGTGGGTGAAGTTTGCCTCAAAAAAAGGCAAAACTGGGGTGCTTTCTAAAGATGCTGTCTGCATTTTGTGGGCTGCTAGACTAGACATTGTTTCCATCCTGCCTCCAGGATCTTGGATTTTTCTTGAAACCCTTAGAAACAGGTTCATATATGTAATGTGTAGTTTTCCTCCACCAGCCGTTTTGTTTTTAACCCCCCGCCAGCCGCTTGGTCTCTGCCACAGTTGCAGTCCCCAAATAACACACAGGAGGCTATATTAATTATGAAGCTGTTGGCTGTTTGCTTGTCTCTTACTGGGTAACCCATAATTGTTAATCTAAGTATTTCTCTTCCAGAGAAAAGGTTCCGGACCTTATTCCTATGGCAGTTACATGATGTTTCCCTGTGCTTCTCTTTCCCAGAATCCTCCTCGACTCCTAGTCCCACCTATCTTGCTTCCCTATTGGCAAACAGTGCTTTATTCAACAACCAGTAAGAGATAGATTTACAGAATGGCAAATCCTATCATACATATGATGAGTCAGCTCTATGCCAGCTCCGACTCCCCACGCTGTGTTATTGAGAATACTGTGATCCTAAAAGGTGCACATGCCTTCTGCAGTCTCATGATGGCTTGAGGCATTACCGGGGTGGGGAGAAACATATCTGTCCCCTTATCTACTGCATGTCTCTAATTCCTGAACCTTCCAGTTCACAAGGTTATCAGTGGACTAGAGAATAGACATCACCAGGAAGCTAGTAGTTAAACATGTAGAACCTGGCCTGGTCACCAAACCAGGTAACTCCAGTTTCATCTCCAGAACATACATGATGGATGGAAAACAGTGACTGCCTTCCACACACCCTTGCATACCCTCACATATGTAAATAAATACAAACAAATATATACGTGCTAACCATTTTTAAGAATGCAGAACCTTGCTGGGCGTTGGTGGGACACGCCTTTAATCCCAGCACTCGGGAGGCAAAGGCAGGCGGATCTCTGTGAGTTCAAGGCCAGCCTGGTCTACAAAGTGAGTTCCAGGACAGCCTCCAAAGCCACAGAGAAACCCTGTCTCGAAAAACCAAAAAAAAAAACAAAAAACAAAAACAAAAACTCTGTCTTGGAAAAAAAAAGAAATAAAGAAAGACAAACAAAAAGAAACACAACACTCCCCAGCAATTCTAGAACAGAGGGAGACTGGAGAGCCACTGGCCTGGAAAGTTATTTCCCAAGCTTACTTAAATATATGTGGTTAGAATTTTATCCATATTTATCATTCGAAGTCCACATTTTCACATCCCCCTCCTCTCCTCAAGACTTTTACCTTTAACTTGCCCTGCAGCCAAGAATGAAAGAATGACCTTGAACTCCTAATCTTTCTGCCTGCTCTCTCTCTCTCTCTCTCTCTCTCTCTCTCTCTCTCTCTCTCTCTCTCTCTCTCTCTCTTCTCTTCTCTTCTCTTTTGTTATTTTTTGATTCAGGGGTTCTCTGGGGCTTTGGAGACTGTCCTGGATCTAGCTCTTGTAGACCAGGCTGGTCTGGAACTCACAGAGATCCGCCTGCCTCTGCCTCCCAAATTCTGGGATTAAAGATTAAAGGCGCGTGCCACCACAGCCCAGCTCTTCTGCCTCCTCTTGCTATGATTACAGGTATATACTCACCAGGCCCAGCTCTCTCTCTCTCTCTCTCTCTCTCTCTCTCTCTCTCTCTCTCTCTCTCTCTCTCTCTCTCTCTCTCTCTCTCTCCTTTCCCTTCTTTCCCTCTATTTTTCTCTTTTCTTTCTTAGCACGTCTTGTTCTTAATGATATCCTATACTGCCAGGAGGCTTCATTGGAGCTGAAACACTAATTGGTGCTGATTGCAAGTGGTATGAACTTGACAATGACATTTCTGTTAACTGTTCATTCTTTCAGAATTGAACATTGCCCAGATAGCATTAGTGGTATCTAAGACCGCCCTCCACCCTGACAGGATATCAAATGCCATATGGTATCTGCTGCACAGAGAACTTCTTTAGTGAAAAGTCTTGAATTCTCATGTGTGTTCTTTCCTTGAGTTGTTTGGCATTTGGCCAATTTCCTGCTCTTTAAAAAAAAAATGAAGACTAGAGTCGTTGGTGGTGGTGGGGCAGGTAGATCTCTGTGAGTGTGAGGCCAACCTGAACTTAAATTGTCGTAGTAAGTTCCAGAACAGCAGGAGCTACATAGTGAGACCCAGTCTCAAAAAATAAGGTAGGGATGGGGGAGAGGGAAGGAGCGAGAGAATAGCCCAGGTACAGTGATGTACCTGTAAACCTAACGACTGAGGAGTCAGAAGCAGGAAAATGATGGAGTTGAGGCTACA